TGAGTTATTCCCTATTGCTACGCCTTGAGAAGATGTTCAAACTGCATAAATGCAATTGAAATATCAAATATTGAAAAATTAGATGATTCAAGAGTGATTGAAAGGCTGAATTTGCGATGAATTAAAGGCTGAATTTAACTTAAGAGAGAAATATTTTGTCAGTGATTTTCCAAGCTTTTACATCTTCTTCGGTTCTGCATACACACAATTCTTCCTCATATTCTTTTTTTTTTCATCCTCAAAATCCATTTATCCTTCGCATTTTGGTCTCTTCTTCAAAGAAGAATTTGAAGAATGACTCGATCCGCTGGTTAACGCTAGCTCCTCTGCGGCTGCAATTAGGAGCCACGCAACGCAAAGGGCCCTCAGGATATACCGCAGGGGAATGCGGCGTAGCTTTGCTCCATAACGCCACGCCGCCCTCTGAGAGCAGAGAGAGTGTGTGCATAAGGGATACGCAGACAGCTAGAAGCGCCCATCGGTCGCAGACCGTGCATTTTCTGCGTTTCGGACAGAGTGACCTCAATTAATAAGAACTCTTACCTTCAAAGTAAAATGTGAAAGATCTATTAGACCAAACATTGCCCAAAATAATGTTTCGGAAGTATGATAAATACTGAAAAGAAAAAATTTTATAACAATACTTCAGATTGGATTTTCCCTACCTTGATACACTTCTATATTTTATATCACAGCTTTCTTTCAAAGTGTCCATCTTGGCAGCGTTTACAACTGGACTTGGGTTAGCAATCCACTTCGTATATTGCTCGCATTCCTTGGACAAAACTTTTTTTTGGGATTTATTTGGTAAAATTGAATTTTCTCACCTGTGCCCTCATTGCTCCATAATACCAAAGAAGTTGATTTAATCCGCATGCAAATGCAAACAAGACTAGAGCATAAACAAGGAAGAACTTTAGAATGTCGATTACCATGCGACCTGGAACAAAAATATCAGTTTTTGAAACTAATCGCGGAAAAATAACAAACCTAACGAAATCTTCAGAGGTCCTAGATGTGGATTGACCGTAAAAATATGGACGAGTTTTAGCGATGAAAATATGTTGGCAGTAGCAAAAACACATTCACTGACTAAAGTAGGATCCCAAGCATCCCAATCTCTCCTAAACAAATTTTTATTTCTTTCTCATTCAAATTTTGTGTAGAAGTTATGATTATGTTTATGAAAAAATCGTGAAA